CTCTCTCCCTTTGCTCTCCCTCTCCCTCCTCTGTTCGCGTTTCCCATCCCAACGTCCCGGTGTCAGGTGGCCACAAGCAGTGTGCCGCCTGAAATCTGCAGTTTTGGGACTTAGGCTCCGGGACAAGTCCGTGAATTGATGGTACTCTCATATGACCAGGCAGCAAAAATTAGGGGAACTCAGGGCACCCCTGATTTTGGGCGCACTGAGCCTTGCGAGTAATCCTCAAAGATGGCGAGACGGGTGGCCGCACTCGACATGTCTAGGGACTGTCATTTCTGGCCGTTCGGAGGGCTAGACCCGAAATGGTCTGCCGTGGGGAGGCATCGGGGGAACTGACCTCGCCACAACGTTTCTGCCGCATACGAGCGGGGCTGTGATGAGGCCTTAAATTTTTGTCTATTTTAGTACCATAATTAAAGATGGGGAAGAGGGATTAAGACCAGTAAGGGAGAAGAGAAAAACATAATATTCCTTATTTCTTTATTTTTCACGGCATTTAATTCTAGGAGGAAAACCCTTGTTATTTTACGTAATCGACAATGAAATTTAAAACATGGGAAAAGATTAAAAAAATGGTAAAAGAGAAAAGAGACAAGGGATTCGGCCATTTATCCAAACTCTCTCTCGGAATTTAATTTTGGGGAATTTACGGTTAATTTACTATTTCAGACAATAGAATTGAGGAAAACGAAGAACGATTAAAAACGATGAAAGGGGACGGAAACCCATGACTATTGGGAGATCGGCCTAATTTCGGCTCGATTACCCGCCATCAGCTCAGAGCCTGGATTGAACATTTTCCCCGGATTTTAACAGTTTTCACTGCTGCCGATGGTCGAGGTTCGCTGCATCGCTTTCCCTGGTTTGCTTGATTATTAACATTGCCACGGTTGAGATATTCTGAGAGCGGGAGTCGCATGAACAGCATGGGGTGGTGCTGCCTTGGGTCGACTATGGTGTTTGGTTCGGTACGGATACGAGGGTTGTTACGGAGTCGCTGCGTCCTACGGTGCCTGATGTGCTTCARGTACGGTATGGGCCGGGTAACAGCTGTCTCACTACRGTGACTTATTTTCAGGTTTGGGACAGCTGCGGTGATTTACTTCCAGGACCGGGGCCACTACGACAATTATTCCAGGTTTGGAACCTTGGCGGCAGTTAGTTTTCAGGTCCGAAACGTAGCGGCATTCTATCTCAGGATCAGGACAGGTACGTAATTAACATGGCACGGTTATACGAGTTCGGCATCCCCGTGTGCCTTCACAACCCACATGCAAGTCATTTCAGGAGGCAGAATAAAAGGGAAGGTTTGGTGCAGTGACAAGACATTATCCACAAAACGGTATACGGCATCGGACTGGTGTGACGTGTGACGACGGCACAGGCTGTGGAAATTCAGGGTGGCGATTCAGGTTCGGCACGTTCTGCTTGGTATTGACATGGACCATAGCCGGCAGGGTGCTATATTCTGTGACCATGTTGCTGTTTCGGAGTTGGCTTAGTACTTTCACTGGGACGGTGTCGGTACGGGTTACTTCTATTCGTTGTCGAGACGGCCGGAATGACCGCTAGTTCGGACTGGCATGGCATTGCAGACTGGTTCTTGTTTGCAGGTTCGGAATTGGTAAGACTGCTGGGACAGGTACGGCCCAGGTATGGTGATGGTACAGGCCGCAATTTAACGCTACAAGGTTGACACGGTGTGAGTTTTCACGATTCTGGCACACTTATTCCTGGCCACAGACACTGAATTGACGACGGCACGACGCGGCCCCGGGGGGGGTGTGTTCCAGTCTGCCTCTTTTGTTTTGATATGGACGGTGGTTCGACCTTGGCGTTGATCTGGTACCRGTGCAACCACTGCAGTCCGGAGCTATTATGTTTCTGCAAGGTTGCTGGTTCGTAGCTGAGAGGGGGCATTGAAGCCGATGCTGTTACCACATGGTACAGTACTTGATCCGGTCCGGGGGAAAATTCACTCGGACAGTGATCATGAAACTCATGGAACCGCTGGGCTCTGATCCCAGACTACCGGGTCAAGACTGCGGTACCAACGGGATTACTGCTGCTGGAGACAGGTACACCGGACCCGTAGGCCTTGTACCGCTGGAACCAATGGCACCATTCCGTCTCGAGCTGGGTATTGGAGAGTCGGGAGGGCAGTGAGCCTTACTGGTACCCGCAGTTAAGGCCGCGGAGATAGAAGACCCGGGGGGCGAGACAACGGGGGGGGATTGGAACGAGCGTGGACTAGCGTGCACGGCGTGCACAGAGGTAGAGCTCATTGGGCATGGTGCACGTTTCGTACGTGTGGGTGATGATCTATCGAAGATTGGATGCTAAGCGGGGAATGGTGTGGCAAGAGATAAGAGCCAGGGCAGACGGCGCTGGGGGGAGCCCAGGAGTGCGAGCAAGGTGTACCTGCGTCCGACATCGGGGCAGAAGCGTCCACTCTCGGACGGCTACTCTGCGTGAGCGAGGGGAGTGGGAATCCACGAGGTGGATGAGCTTGTGTGGGTGATTGTTCGCTTGAGGGAGATGGTGAGGAGCAGTGAGAACAGACGGGGGCAGAGGAAGTCGGGCTAGGCGATCACAGCCCTCTCCATATGAGAAGAGAAGGCAGCCGTGCGGAAGAGAGAGTTCCAGAGAAACAGTCTAACTAAGTTTCCCCGCTGGAAGCGGGAACAGCGAGCTTCAGTGATGTGACCCAATCAGCCCTCGATGAGGGAACAGCCAGTTTCAGTGATACACTCCAATTAAGCATTTCGACTTTTTT